AAGGCATGGGCACCTCACAGGAGGGGTCATGGGAGCACTAGTCGATGAACAAGGCCATTGGAGTATGGTGAGTCCTTCTGCATGTTCTAACCTCTTCCTTGGCTGAAGCTTGGTGGTTCTGAGGGCTTGATGTTTGGGGTACTCTTTGAGTCCCCACATCTTGGGAACCTGTTTGTTCTGTAGCCATTGAGAAGTTGCAAGTGAAGCATGGTAACCAATCAGAGATGACTGAGGGAGTGGTTAAGCTGAGAGTAACCTTCAGAGTTTAAGAAAAGTTTCCAAGTTAACTGGGGCTGTACTCATACCTCAAGGGCATCATTGAGTGAGGCAGAGCTGAGACTGGGATTCTAGGGGAAGGAGCCCTATTTGCTGAGGCCACAGCATTGTTATTTACAGTGCTGTACCTGACCTCCTCATTAACCCCTTCACTGGACACTAGGATTTAGTGGTGAAAACCATAGACTTTGGAGCTCCCAGGCTTCTTAACCTCCCACGCCTATGACCTGGGCATGTCTCTGGGCCTCAGTTTCCTCATCTGTAGCATGGTGGGAAGGCAGGATCTCAGCCGTAACATAGAGTATTTCTATAAGGATAAAGTGACCCAACCAATGTGGTGGGCATACTCTGACCTAGTGCCCCATGATCCCTACCTTGAGGTGCCCATGCCCCTGTGGAAGATTCTCCATGAATATGGGCTGAAGATAGTGAAAAGGATGGGGTGCCGCCTCTGAGCCTGCGGGTTCATCCTGCTTACCTTCTCTTGCTCTCTGTCTTGTTCCGATGGCAGCCATCTGTACTGCCCAGTTGCCTAGCCCACCTAGGAAGAAATGAAAGGTGGCTCTGCTTGGTAGGTGGCTAGGAACAGTGCTCTCATCCAACAGCCCACAAGGAATCAAATCCTGCCCAAACCCACACACTCGATCTAGGAAACACACCTTTCCCCACCAGATCCTTCACCTGAGGCCTCCATTGTGCTCTCTGAGACTGGAGCGGAGGATGTGGGTGGCCTTGTCCAAATTCCTGACCCAGAGAAACTGTGAGCTAACAAATGCCTATGGTACCTAGAGCAAGGCAAATCCTCAATAGATATTGGCTGTCTTTATTATTAACAGTCACATGTCATCTCAGGATGCACTCTGAGAAATGCTAGGCTAGGCAATTCCATCACTGTGCAAACATTAGAAAGTGCACTTACATAGCCCTAGCTGGGAGAGTCTACTGTACACCTATGCTAAATGGGATAGCACATTAATGTGAGCTTATAGGGATCCCCCGCACGTCACTATACTGAGCACAGTAGGCAGCTCGACTACAGTGGTGTCTGTGGAACTCTTCTTCATGTCTGTCTTGATCAAAAACAACTTTATTTGTCTTACAGGTTACAGTCCATCATCAAGGGAAACTAAGGCAGGAAGCAAGACAGGAGCTGAAGCAGAGGTTTTGGAGGGATGCTGTTTACTGGCTTGCTCCCCCTGGTTTGCTCAGCCATTTTTTGTTTAATGTTTCTTTTTTTAAATACAGCCTAGGTACAACTGCCTGGGGATGGTTCTACCCACAGTGGGCTAGGCCCCCTACATCATTAGCAATTAAGGAAATAGTTAGTCCACAGACATGTCCATGGGCCAACACGATTGAAACGGTTCCTTAAATGACGTTCCCTCTTCCCAGGTGACTCTAGTTGTATCAAGTTGGCAAAAACTAACCAACACACTGTCTAAACAGTTTTGTCCATGCCAGCATCACAGCACATACACGGGAATGCATCAGACTACAGTGTTATCACGGCTCCATTGTGGCTAGGGAATGGGGAATTTTCAGCTCCATTTTAGCCACATTGGATCACTGTCCTACACGAAACCCATCTTTGATTAAAATGGTATGAGGTGTGTGACTATACTTCTGTGTCACAGAGCACAGACAGCAGGGCTCAATTCCATTTTATACTTGAGGAAAATGAAGCTCAGAGTCTCACAATTAAAATGCAGTAGGACGTGGGCTCTTCTGCGCTGTCTCACTCCGCTGTGTTCGGAAAGCATCACTGTCAGAAAGACCTTATTACTCTTAGGGAGGGTGGACAGGTTTCAGTGGGATGCTTTAGAGAGGGGAGAATGGACCCTCCAGGATTCACAGGGTAAGCCCTGGGTTGGAGAGGTGGTTTTTCAACGGGAAAGGAGGAGTAATGATGGCACTTGGACTTAGAGATGGCACCTCTTCACCAGCTACCCTAACGCCAGCACTCAAGGGTTTCACCTCTACTTTTGCATCCATGCTGAGCCCAGTGGCCCCTATACCTATCCCACGCCACGGACTCCTCTCTGCTGTCCTTTGCTCCCTTCCCCACCAGAGCTGCAAACTTTCAGCATCCTAGGCTTTATGTCTGCAGAGATGGCTGTCTTGCTAAGCAGTCAATTACCATCGCCAGGGGCTGTTGCATTTCCAGTGTTCCCTTTGTCTACCGAGGGACCAGAGGGCTTTCTCCCTGCTTTTCAAATGCAGATCTCCTTGCTCTGCCTTGGGCTCCTCAGCACACACTGCTGCTCTGGCTGACTTGGTCCTGTGGTCTTCTGCTCCCTCGGTGCCTCTGCCCAGTCAGCCCCCACAACGCAGGTGTGCAGGAGCTCAGCCTCTGTCGCTCTTCCCATGGCTGAAGGCACTGTCTTTGTAACGATGGAGGCAATGGGGAAGGGGAGGCCAGGCTGAGGGTTGAAAAAGTGTGGGAGTAGTTGTAGAGCAAGCACCCGAGACACAAAGATCCTTCTGCCTTTCTCTACATACCAGAGGAAACCTCTACCATTCCAGCCAGGAGTGGGGCTGTCTTCAGTTGCCTCTTTTCTTGGCTCAGAATTCTCAACTTGTGTGGGTCACAATTTTACCTTGTCGTCTCCTTAACATATAGATTTCTATTTCTTGGCCTGATTATTTTAGAATTTTTGATTCAGGTGGCCTTGAGAATTGGCATTTCTGCCAAGTTCCCAGGTGGGGCTGGTCCACACTCGGAGAAGCCCTGCTTCTCCCACTCTTGAGCCTGTCTGGTGTGTGTGTGTGTGTGTGTGTGTGTGTGTGTGTGTGTGTGTGTGTGTGTGTGTGTTCCTCCCATCATCTGAGGACCCAGGGTGCAAAAAGACAAGTGGAGAAGTTCATCCACAATGATTAACCATCAAGTATTTCCTTGTTTATCCCTTGCTGGGAGCACTGTCTCTCGCCATGTTCCCCATTGTTCTTGAAGGAAGGTACTGTCATTTCCCCATTTTACCGGTGGCAATCTGAAGTAAGGCCAATGACCAAGGGTGGTAGAGTGCTAACAAGTTGTTGATCTGGGATGGTCCTAACATATCGTTGATTCATTCATGACAAATACACTAAGAAAATACTACTCAGCATTGACTATATTACTGGCCCTATTTTATGTCCTCAGGACCCAACAATGGACAGGATGAAGTGCTCTTGTGGAGCTTAAATTCAAGGGCGGAAGAAGAAACAATAATTGGTATATTCAAATATGCACAATATTTTTTATGCACACATGTAGTGTGTATGTGGGGGGGCATTGTATTTATGTGGAGTCTAGAGGCCAACTTCCAGGGTCATGCTCAGAACACTGCCTACCTCCAGTGACACAGTGTCTCCCAGTGAATGTGGAGTTCACCACAGGCTAAACAGGCTGGCTGGCAAGCTCCAGGGGTCCTCCCGCCTCTTCAACTCTGGCATTACAAGAACATGCTATTGTGCCTGGCATTTTTACTGGGGTCCTGGGGATGACCTCCAGTTCCCATGCTTGTAAGGAAGCACTTCACTGAGATATCTCCCACGCCTACACAAGTTTTGATCAATGGTTCTACTGTGGTATATACCGAGGGAGGACTTGACTGAATGTAATCAGGGTTTTAGGTGGACCCTCTGGTAGGATATGGTCTGTGTGGTTCTTGCCTCTCTACCCTGTTTGTGGATGAAGCCAATAGGCAGGAGCCCACGGTTTTGGGAGGCAAAGCAGAGTCTGGGGCACGCATAGCCTTGGCATCATCAGCTCCACCCAATACAACCTCCCCCCAAACTTCAAAATTCCACTTCACTGAGGGATACTTTCTTTGCTGCTCTGGTCATGGCAGTGTGGAATCTTCTGGGTGAAGATCATTTGACACTTGTTGGCTAAGGGGACAGAGCTTACAGAGACACTTCATCAAACTCATTCCCAGGGCCAGGCAGTAGTTGCACATAAATTTAATCCCAGCACTCAGGAGGCAGAGGCAGGTGGATCTCTGCGTTTGAGGCCAGCCTGGTTTACAGAGTGAGTTCCAGGACAGTCAGGGCTACACAGTGAAACCCTGTCTGGAAACAAAACAAAACAAGACAAACAAACAAACAAACAAAAACAAAACTCATCCCCAGGCTGATCAGGTGAGAGCACTTGCCACATAGCTTACTTCAGCAAGCAACCATAACTGAATCTTCACCAACTTGTATTGGGTCCCCACACATGGGGCATGCTGAAGTGTCTTCTATAGGCTACATACATTATCATGTATTATCAAAATCACCGTCCAGTCTTCTCCATCACTTATCAATACACAGTCAGTTTCACTCAGTCAGTTTCACTCAGTGTCAGGAGTCTGCAGTTCAGCCACTCCATGAAAGTATTAAATGGATCTTTAAAACAAAAACAAAAACAAAACAAAAAAACCTTAATTCCTGCAGTGTGAAACAGAATACCCAATGCTTAGATTTCACTAAGCATTGGGAAGCTGAGTGGATGCACGGATGAATAAATGAAATATCTCCTGGTCCTTTATTGCCCCATGCTGACCCCAGGCCTGTTCTGCCATAGATGTTAGCAATCCCTAACACAGGACACAGGGCTCAGCCTCAGGACTCAGCCTGGCTGTGGGGAGGAGGGTCCAGTTGTACCATTGGGCTGCTTTCAGCATGGTATCCAGAGAGGAAGAAGCGGCCATCAAGTCCCCATGAGTGACGAGCACGGCTCACTTCAGTAGTCACTAAACTTCCTTCTTTATCTATTCCCTCTCAGGGTACAGTTGCCTGTCTTAGCTTTCTGGTCGCCTTGCCTCCAGTTCCCTGCACGGATTGAGACTTTCTTTGAATCACTGCTTTTCTAGGACCCCATGGGCCTGCCTGGATCTGTCTACCGTCTATCTCTCCATCAGAGGAGCCAAACCCTGCCCGCTGTCAGTCCAGCTGCTGGCTGCCTGGACCTTTTAGAATCACCCAGGGCTCCTGTCACTTCCTTGGATCAAGTACATGTTGGCTCCTTTATATCCAGCCCAAGGCTGCACAGGCACTAGAACTTTCTGCTTCACCTGCCAAATTAGACTCAGGATACAGTCACAGTGGGCTCAGCTCCTCTCCCTTTCTCTCGGTGGCCCACTGAGGCCTCAGGTTCTTGGGTACAGAGGCAGCATCAGCTCTCATCATCAGTCCATGTTCTCATCTTTCCTATCTCTCATGAATGACTCTCCTCCTGGGCCTAGGAGGATGTGATGGGCATTTCTTGCTCGGCTCGCTCGGGGCCAAGCCCTTGCCCTACAGCCCCAACCTTCCAGCAATCTGACACTGTCCACCTTTTGTCCCCTCTCCTCTCTCCTCCCCCCTGCACGTTCCAGCCAGACCCCTGTGGCCTCACTAGCGCAGTGAGCCATTTCAAACAAAAATCCAATTTTGCCAGCATCTAATGTATTCTAACTAATCTGCTCACAGGTGCCTTTGGCAATCCCACTGAGGAAACTTGCTTAAATATTTTAAGAAGCGGTTAATGTGCTAGTTAACTGCCCAACTGAGTGTCAGACCGCTAGAGTTCAAACTCTGGTTCTGTCACTTACTGGCTCTATTTCCTAAGGCAAGGCACTCAAATTCTCGGAGGACTTGCTTCCCCATACATGAAATAAGGATAATAGCGTTACATGCTCCCAAGGCTTTTGGGAGAAGAAAACGAGTCAATATATTAAAAAAAAAAATGTTACAAAGAAAATCTAGTACATAAATAGTTTATACAGTAGGTGTAATAAAATACATATTAATCATCCCAAGGAACTTTTTAGTTTGCTCATTCATCTAAGCAAGACCTACTGTGTGCCAGACCACGAGAAGCAGTTAAAAAAAGATTGAGATATGTTCTGGGGTTCGTCACAAAGGAAGCAGGCCCAGACACATACCATTCCAAGGAAGGAGATTGGGGGTGTGTAAATGAAGTGAATAGGGTGTGCTGGTTGGGTTTTGTCAACACGACACACTTAGACATATCTGGGAAGAGGGACTATTAATTGAGTAGGCAAGTCTCTGGGGCATTTTCTTGATTGATGATTGATGTGGAGGGCCCAGCCCACTGTGGACTATGCCATCCCTGGACAGGTGGTCATGGGTGGTATAAGAAAACAGGCTGGGTGAGCCAAAGAGAGCAAGCCAGTAAGCAGCATTCCTGCATGGTCTCTGCTTCAGTTCCTGCCTCCAGGGTCCTGTTCTGAATTCCCTCCAGGGAGGACTGTAAGCACTGCAGTAAAATAACTCTTTTCCTTTCTAAGCTGTTTTTGGACTTGGTGTTTTATCACAGCAATAGAAGTCCAACTGGTACCCAGGGGGAGGAGAGTCTGGGATGGAGCAGCCCACCTCGGAGATCGCTCACATGGAGACTACCTGTGACATTGACAGGTGTCAGGCATACCCGGTCCTGAAGGCAGTCCTGAAGGAAGCGTCCCCTTGGACTTGGAGAGTCAGCCAGAAAGGGAAGTGTCTCTCCGCTGTGGGCTTAGGACACATCTTCTCTCAGGGTTCCCAGAACCCATGACCACAGCACGGTGCCTCAAACAACAGGACATCTTGACTGTCAGGGTTCAGTGGGGACGGAATGTTGGTCACCCAAGTTGGACTGTGTGGATGAGAGCCTTGAGGCAGTGGACACGTGAGTCTTTGTCGTCTGGAACGAGGCTCCTCCCTTCCACAAGACTTTCTTCAAGATTTTTGTCCCTGTCCCTGTTCTCCGTTCTCTAGCCCTTTGGCTGTCACTCAACTTTGTGGAAGCTTCGGCCTAAAGAGTAATTTCTCTCTCAGACTTTCATGGAAAAGCTCTAACTACTTCCTGCCTCTCCATGTGGCTCATGTCCGATTGTCTCTCAGCATTTACTTTTCCCTGGTCATTTCCTCATTGCCTTCTTCAGCCAGTCCACTTCTGTCACCCCCATGTAACACCCCCTTCCCCCCCAAGTCCTTGAACGAAGTAGATTTGTCTTCAGCTGTTTCCTAAGAGAAGTTTGGGGAATTAATTCTATCATGGGGCTGATTCAGCCACCCAATAAAGCAGTCACATTTTGCCTGTGGAAAAATGACCATATCGGCTCACACAGAAAGTTTTTGGATGCTGGACCACCCACGGAAGCTCGACAGACAGAAAGCAATGTCTCAACAAGAACTTTCAAACACTCAAGGACTTCATTATCATGAGATGTCCCTACTCGACAACAGACAGCTGATAGGGAACCGTAAAAGCCTGAGATGCCTCTGTTGTTAGCAAATGAAGCCTGAAGCTCAGGATAGACCACCCTTTCTAGAAGTTTCCCCGAGTGGAAAAAGGAAGGAGAAAAAAATGGCGATTTAGAAAGTTGGAAAGAGGGCTTTCTGTGTCTGTGGAAACTTGAGCCTGTGGCAATCTAGAAGCAGGGACCATGGGTAGGGAGATCTTGGAGATAGGTGCATGGGGAGTACTTGAGAGAATAAGATTCTTCAGCATGGGGGACAGGACTGAGACACATGCCCTACAGGTCAGCCAGGAAGGGGGGAAGGGAAGCTGCAGGTCTAATAAATCCTATTTGTGCAGGACGCACTGTCCCACGGTGATAGTTAATCTTAGTTGCCAAATTGATGGGATCTGGAATTAACAAAGAGACATGTTTCTGGGTAGGTCTGTGAGGGCGCTTCTAGACAGGATTAACTGAGGGCAGAAGACCACACATCCCCCCCAACCCCCTGCCCCACTCCAGAAGGTTCTGCCCTGGGTACAAAGAGGTCTAGAGGGAAAGTAGAACTGTGCTGTCCTGCCTGCCTTTGCTCCTCACTGCTGAGTGCATCGCCTCTGTGGCTGCCGCCACCGCCACGATCCTTTGTGCTCATCGGAGCTGAGCTTCCAACATGAACCCAAGACTAGGGATCCTCCATGCCTTCAGCACCAGTTTGGGACGCCTGTGGCATTTGATTGCACAGACTCTCAGTCTCTCCAGCATGCACACAGCCACTGCTGGACTCTCCAGACTGTAACATATAAACCAGCCTAGTAAATCCCCTCTGTACTATATTTTCATTTGATCTGTTCTGTTCCTCTAGAGAACCCTAATATGTGCACTGTGCTGCCACAGACACCATGTCTAGAACTTCACACGGTGTCCCTTCACACCTTGGATAGCACTGCCACGCCCTCATTTTCCAGAGGAAAGCTCTGAAGGTTAAGAAGGTTGCATGACGTCCTCAAGGTCCCCGAGCTAAAACAGGGCCCAGCTGGGACTCCAGAACTCCTGTTCCCACTAGTTATGTTCACTTTGATGTTGTGCTTCCTTTGTCAAAAGGATAAGTCTTGCTTACATCAGCGCATGTCCATGCTTGGCGCTATATGTGTGTTAACTTATTTATTCCCCTGCAGGTCCACAAGGAGCAAGATCATCCTGCCACCCCCCTTTTGTACATGGCAGATCTTACCTCAGGTCACTGCATTAGTTACTTTAATGTTGCTGTGATAAAATATTCTGACAAAAAGCAAATTAGCGAAGGAAGGGGTTATTTGGACCTACAGTTCCAGAGAAGGTAACAGTCCATCATAGCAGAGAAGGCATGGCAGGGGGCCCAGAGGTCAACCTAGCAGTAGGAAGCCGAGTGATTTCATCTACAGACAAGAAGCAGAAAGAGAACAGGAAGTGGGGCCAGGCTATGCCCGCCCCCAGTGATGTATTTCCTTCAGTGAGACTCCACCTCCTTAAAGTTCCAGAACTTTCCCGAACAGCGCCACCAACTGGGGATGAAGTGTTCACACACTTTGAGATAATAAGGGGACGTTTCTTATTCAAACTTGCAGTCACACAATAAGAAAGAGAATTCACTGTGGATGTTGGTGAGTAGACTCCAGACCTCAATATTTAACCCTGGCTTTTCTGTTCTTTCCTTACAAAAGAAGGTGGTATGACCATGGGAGCAGAGGTGAGGTGGTTTCCCTGGAGACAGAGATGAATGTGTGGGAGTGGAGGGAGGGAGGCAGGCTTCAGGAAGTGGGCATGGTCATGCTGTAGGAGAGTAGAAGAGACGTAGTGTGACAGGGATGAGGGACAAAGCGGAGGGTGGGCAGGGAGTCAGGTTTAATAGGAGTTTTCCTGTGTCCATTTGAAGCTTCCTCCAAAGTCCTCAGCAGGGAGTTGGGCAGAGATGGCATCCTGGGTCTGAGCATGAGTGGGGTGTTCAGCATTGGAGGGGGACCTGTGGTCCAAGTTTCAGTCAGGCACTGAGAATTGTGAGGGTCTGAGGACACCACCTTAGCTTTGACCGCATTTGATGGATGAAAGGAAATTTGACAATGAAGAGTCTGTCCATCTGAGAGATGGAGCTTCCTGGTGGTGTTCTTCCCCAACTGGGTTTTATCCTAAGTCCCAATAAATAAGTAAATAGACAAAAATGGGAGAAAGACCTCCAAGAATGTACCCTTGGGGGCTACATGGATGGTATCCTAGGGAACTTGTTGGTCTTGGTATAGTTGGTACCTGGTCACCATCCATGCCAGAGGGCTACCTGGGCTTAAGTTCCCAGGTGCGAAGGGTCTTAAGCATTTTAAGAAACTGAACCCTTGAGGGTGTTGACTATTTGTGGCCTTTGGACTCTCATGGGGAAGAGCAGACCCTTCAGAAGAGGCTCCGGGAAGAAAGGTCCGGATGTATTCACGTGACCAACGCTGCTCCCCACATCTCATCACTTCTTATGTTAACTCTTTCTCTAGGGGTGACCTTGGTATCCCACCTCAACTCTACACTCTTTTTTCTCTCCATCTCCGGTGACATATTTCATCGGCTTTGGTGGCATCACAAATTGCCGTCCTTTTGGTCCGTACTTGACCCAGCTGTGCTGTGACTGCATATTCTTCGCACTGGTCATTGAAGTTGGCACTCAGAGCCTTCAGCATCCAGTAGCCACAGGAGATCATAATAAGCAGTGTAGGTTCCAAGAAGGGCTTGGGTAAAGTTTGATCCCATGAGCCTGTGGACAGCTGTGGACAGCCGTAAGGGCAGCAATTGTTTATCCATACTTATCCCCTGGGGTAGAGCCTGAGGGGTTTTGCTCAGCTCTTGTTAGCTGGGAAGACAGCAGAGCTCAGCTATATCCTTGAAAGAAATCCCAGATGTAATGGCCAGAGGAAGCCGTGTGCAGGCTGCACCCAGAGAGCTCAGAGGACTCATTAGAGCACCATCCTGCTCTGATAAGTTGTTAGTTAAAAGTCCACCTGGAGGGGCTTTTATTGCACCCCATGGAGAAGTCCTCCCTCCCGCCGGGAGCACATATGGGAGGAAGGGTTTTATAGATGGTATAAATGGCTAAGCATTTCGAACCATTAGTTATTCAAGCCTTACATAACTGTGCTCTTTGGCCCTCTAGACAGCCAACCCTTTGCCGACTGTGTGGTGATCACAGGAAAAATGCTTGGGCAGAACCGAGGATTAAGCATTGCGATGCTAAGAGTGGTAAGGATAGTAGCAAAAATTGATGGAGCTTCTAGAACCACCTGGGGTGGGCTGAGTAACAGCTCCCTAAAATATCTGGGTCCTCGTTCCCAGAACCTGGGAACGTCACCCTACATAGGGAAAGGGACTTTAGACATGCAGTCGGGTTACAATGCCTGAGAGGAGATAGCCCTCTTTCCCCTCCTTTATCTCTCAGTCTAATCCTAAGCATCCTTATGGGGACAAAGGGAGGAGGCACAGAAGAGAAGGAGGGATGACAAGATAAACAGAGGTGCCACAAGCCAAGGAATGTCATGGTCACCAGAGGAAAGGAGTTGATTCTTTTCTGGAGCTTCTAGATCAGTGGTTCTCAACCTTTCTAATGCTGCGACCCTTTAACACAGTTCCTCACATTGTGGTGACCACCCACCCCCAACCATAAAATTACTTCATAGCTGTAATTTTGCTACTGTTATAAGTCATAATATCTGTAAATATCTGATATGCATGATATCTGATAGGGGACCCCTGTGGAATGAACATTGGACCCCAAAGAGGTTGTGACCCACAAATTGAGAACCCAAGAACCGATGTTCTAGAAGGAACAGGCCTGCTAATGTTCTGACTTGGGCCCTATAACTTAGGATTCCAAGTGAACCCATTTCTGATGTCTGAGCTTTGTGACTGGGGTGACTAGTCACAGTGACAACAGGAAATGAAAGCTCCACTCAGTCTCCATTAGCTCACTTTGTCCTCATCCCTCCTATGAATCATCTATTATGGTCCCTGTTTGCAGATGAGGAAACTGGCTCAGAAGAGCCAAGGGGCTAGCTCAAGGTCACAGTTAGAATGCAGAGATTGAATCAAAGAACCAAGGGCTAGCTCAAGGTCACAGTTAGAATGCA